GCCTTATAGTGCGGAAAATACGGCATTTGCATTTCAAAATACAGTCTTTGAGAATACCTGGAATGTTTCATGGTCGGAAGGAAATATTACAAAGTAAACCTCCAACTTCTGTTGACTTTCTTTGGCAAAATCAGAGACAGCATCAAACATTATTGAAGCAGAGTCATCTTTACTAAATCTAAAGGCTCCAATGCCAATAGCAGGGAAGCTGATTGAGGTGTAAGGCTGTGCAGCCGCCGTGATTAAGCACTCCAATACTGAATTGTAAAGAATCTGTAATAAACCAAAAAAAAAAATGGACAAATATGTGTTGAATCTGCAACAAGCAATGTAATATTTTTTATTTATAAATTTGCAACATTATTTTATACCCATCGTCCGAAAAGAGAAATGTACCTTCTCTGCTGCTGGATGAAGTCCTTTTTCAGCACAAAAAGTGTGAAACACCTCTTTGCATTGCAGTCTGTAAGACTGTGTACGGATTATAAGGCCCTTCTTCTTGTCAACTTTCACAATTTCCTTTTGGATTTCCAAACCTGCTTTTTTCAATATAGCGCTGGAAATTCTACCAACACGCAGGTTTCGGTCTACTGATGCAGTGTTAACAATGACATCTGTCTGGAAGAGAAAAACAAAAACCCAAAAAGGTCAATGGTTTAAATTCAGGTCAACATACTTTGAGGCGCGGCCATCTTGGGGATGGAGGCAGTGGGCTTAAGGACTCAGGATTATCCTCTGAGAATTATCCTTTCACTTATACAGCAGTTTTACACTGATGAGCTGAATTATTACCAGCAAAAGCAAAATAAAAATGTTTCATTCTTATTTTTTAAGCCACTTAATTTCAGGGTGAGGTAAAGAAAGAGGTTCTGATTTAACCGCCTGTTGTCATGATCCTGATTGTCCATTCCATTCACCTGTGTAACTCTCTTCTCATCACTGCTTATCTGATACACCTGTTTCCAGCTCCTATATATAACATTTACAAACCTCCACCTCTGAGATGTTTCAATTGCCAAAAATTCGGACACATAGCAGCAAATTGTAAAGGAAAAACAGTGATGTGGAAAACTGGAAAAACGATCTAGAAATAAGTAAAAATGTCTTAAACTAAGTGTATTTCCCCTTAATTTGAGTAGGTAAATGAGATAGTTTGCCAATTGAATGAGTATTTTTACTCTGATAAATAAGATAATTAGATAATATGCACTTGAAATTAAACAATGCTATTCTGTTTTCTTATTCTAAGTGTAAATTGCCTTGTTCCATTGGCAAGATGTCTCTTTTACTACCTTAAGCCAAGGGCAAATGCACTTATTTTAAGAAAAAAATGACTCGTCTAGATTTAGATTTTTTCCAGTGAAGGTGTGCAGGAGAGCATATGGAAAATTTGGAAAAGAAGCTAAGATAAAATGCTGTAACTGTGGTGGAGAACATACTGTTGCATATCGCGGCTCTGAAGCAAGCAAGAGGTCCGAGGAAATTAAAAAATAGAAATTTGAGCTTGGAATAACTTACGCTGAAGCTGCAAGAAGGATCCTATCTCAGTTAGAAAAACCCAAACCTACAGTTTAACACATAGCAAATTCAAAACCTCTGGAGAAATGTCCCAAAATTGAAGAAAATTCACTAATTGTTAAAAAGAAAGATTTTGTTCTATTCATGGTTGAAGTGATCAATTGTACTGCACAGACGACAAGAAAAAACGAAAAAATCAAAATAATAGTGAAAGCTGCAGAAAAATATCTGGAAGTTAAAGACTTAAACTGGGAAATGGTTGAAAGCATGATGGGAAAACCAATATGACCATCAGAAACTGGCAGAGTGACGATGACTTAAAGATAAATTAAGGTTATGAGGGCAAACGTGATTAGTTATTTATTATGTTGGGTTAAGTTAAACAGTTTGTTTTTTTTTCTGTGGTGAATCGTTTCCTGTTTACTTGGCGGTAATGCACTTCTCACAAGTTTGCCAAACGCCATAAAACCTCACAAGAAGAAGAAGAAGCTATATATACTGTTTGTTTTCCAGTTACCAGTGCCAGATTATTCAAGCTGTTCGGTGTGAGTAACTCTAGTGTTCTGAGTATTGTTCTGATCTTACTGGACCTGGACTGTTCTTTTGACCTTGGCTTGGATTCTGTACCTCATTGGCTCTCTAAACTTCTGGTCTGTGAACTTAGTTCTGCTACGGCTTTGGCTCTGGATATTCCCTTCAGGACACTATTGCTCCTCTGCATTGGCTGGCATCAGCTCTGCTCATCACCCGGAGCTCCAGTGGCGGCGCCAGCAGCAAGCAGAGGAAATCTCCCCCTTGGACTCATCTCCTTCCTCTGGGATAAGAAGATCCGGTTTATCCGCTCCAGCTGATGAGCTGTCGCACNATACTGTTGCATATCGCGGCTCTGAAGCAAGCAAGAGGTCCGAGGAAATTAAAAAATAGAAATTTGAGCTTGGAATAACTTACGCTGAAGCTGCAAGAAGGATCCTATCTCAGTTAGAAAAACCCAAACCTACAGTTTAACACATAGCAAATTCAAAACCTCTGGAGAAATGTCCCAAAACTGAAGAAAACTCACTAATTGTTGTATTCATGGTCGAAGTGATCAATTGTACTGCACAGACGACAAGAAAAAACGAAAAAAATCAAAATAATAGTGAAAGCTGCAGAAAAATATCTGGAAGTTAAAGACTGGGAAATGGTTGAAAGCATGATGGGAAAACCAATAGGACCATCAGAAACTGGCAGAGTGACGATGACTTAAAGATAAATTAAGATTATGAGGGCAAACGTGATTAGGTATTTATTATGTTGGGTTAAGTTAAACAGTTTTTTGTTTTTTTCTGTGGTTAATCGTTTCCTGTTTACTTGGCGGTAATGAACTTCTCACAAGTTTGCCAACCGCCATAAAACCTCACAAGAAGAAGAAAAAGCTATATATACTGTTTGTTTTCCAGTTACCAGTGCCAGATCATTCAAGCTGTTCGGTGTGAGTAACTCTAGTGTTCTGAGTATTGTTCTGATCTTACTGGACCTGGACTGTTCTTTTGACCTCGGCTTGGGTTCTGTACCTCATTGGGTCTAAACTTCTGGTCTGTGAACTTGGTTCTGGTACGGCTTTGGCTCTGGATATTCCCTTCAGGACACTATTGCTCCTCTGCGTTGGCTGGCATCAGCTCTGCTCATCACCCGGAGCTCCAGTGGCGGCGCCAGCAGCAAGCAGAGGAAATCTCCCCCTTGGACTCATCTCCTTCCTCTGGGATAAGAAGATCCGGTTTATCCGCTCCAGCTGATGAGCTGTCGCACGCTGATGGTTTAATAAAGACTTGTTTGAACTAATCCAGAGCTGTCTGCTTTGAATATTGGGTCCAAGGCTTCAAGTCCCTGACACTTGTTTGGCGCCCTTCTTAGGTTAAAAAGGGGTTACTGCATCAAATATGTCCTATTTGCTTGATATGACTTTGACTAAGAGAGAACTAACGTTTGACATTAGTTCTGTCAGTCATTCACATGAGCTAAAAGCATTAGGAAACAAAACATACATTTTTGAAGAGTAAACAATATATATCTATATATAAAAATTGAAATTGGATCAAAATGGGAGAACAATGAGCATGTTTTCTGTTTCTTTTTGAAATGATTTGGCATTAATTTTGTGTCAATGAGTGACAAGATGTAAAATGACGGTCCTCAACGTGTTCCTGCAGGCTTTCAATGTTTCCTAGCTTCAGCACAGCTGGTTCTGATAATTGCAGTTCAGCAAAAGGCTGTTAATTATCTATCAATGGCAATGAGCTGTGCTGAAGCAGAGAAACCTCCAAAACATGCAGGACATTGACTTTGGACATGCCTGGATATTGACGGTCCCTATGAGAACCACCATGTTTACGAGAAAGAATCAGACATAGAATCTCCACCTCCCCCCAATATGTTCCTTGGTCCTTTGGGTAATGCCCCCATCAGTGCTCCCTGGTATCTATAAAAGCCTCCCCTCTGTCCCACTCTTTACTGAAATGGACTTCAAGAAAACAAACTACTCCACATTCTGCTGGATTTCAAAACTTTTCAAGACAGACCGCTACACAAGATCCTTTATGCCTCCTACAGCACCTAAACACGTCATTGAAAAACTGCATCATTTAATTTCAGTTTCGGATTAATAAAGTATTTTTGAATGGTTGCTGAATTTAGTACACAATTAATTTTGAAATCTATATTTTAATACATATTTTTTAAAGCTTTATTTGTGTTGATCTTTACCTTTTGCTCTTCAATGCTACCCATCTTCAGCGTCAGAACGACATCTCCAATCCTGACTGAAGGATGTGGGATTCTGGGGGCACTTTTGGGAATTCTTGTTGCAGCCTGGCTATAGGATTGATGCTGGTAAAGACTGAATATAAGATGGGATGCTGTCTCCATTGCCTGCACTGTCAGATCATCATGGTTCACAAAGAAGATCTCTTGCGGAACATGTCTACCAGTGGGCAGGTATTGATAGTACTGTTTGACAGTAGACACTATGGTGTGGGCACATTCTGGCAGTGGGTAGTTGAACAATCCAGAGCTTATGGCAGGAATGGCAACATTTGCCAGATGTTGTTCTTCAACTTTGTCAAGAATGCTCCAAATAGTTTTCTTCAATAATGGTTCTGCCTGTAACACATCATTCTTTGCAGGTTTGAATGGCAGCTTTGGACCCACAGCATGAATGATCTTTTTGCAAGGTAGTAGCCCTGCATCCAAAACAACTGCCTCCCCTGTTTTTAATTTCCCATGTTTCTTGACATAATCCTCACATTCCTTTTGTATTTGCAGACCCCTGGCAGTGGACAGAGCTAGAGCAAGGCCTCCATGGTGCTTCAACTCATCATTAGCTTCATTCACAACAGCATCAACAGCAAAGTAGGTGAGATCAGCCTTCCATACAGACACCTTTACACCCGAAGGCATCATGAATTCAAGTCTTTTCTGTGGAGGAATGGTTGGAGGTCGTCTCTGGTAAGGAGTGCTGCTCTCCTTCTCCCGCTGCACACCCCCAATGGTGGCAACACATCCAAATTTAGTTTTAAGGATGTTGCACAGATTGGCTTCACATTGTTTCACTATTGTAAGTGACTCTACACGGAGAGGAATGTCCAACTTACTGGCCATAGTTTTCTAATAAACCTGTAGAAAGATCAGACGATGCTGCATTAGATCACAAGGACACAGTGGAAGGTTTATTCAATGATGATTATAAAATGAATGTGTGCTTATGAAACATTTTTGCAAGGGGATGCTCCACTCCTGTCTCATGATTCAGACAGGAGACCATCCTGCCTTGTCGTTCTGATGGAGCATTCTGTCCTCATGAACTGATCAATTGTTCTGTCAGAACAATACTCTGTTTGTAACCATGCGTCACGTTCTGTTAATAAAATGCTCTGCGGAGGAGGTCCAGTGGGAGACAGTGTGTTTGAGTCTGGAGTTCAACTGTCTCTCCTTTCTGCAGAAATTGTATCCATAATTATGTATTTCAGTTCTTCTTTTGCAAAAACCTACATTTTATGAACACAACACACGGTTCAATAGAACTGCTGATGGTGTGAAGAATGATTATTAACCTTGCTTGCAAGCTGAATTACAGCAGTACCAAGCAAAACTGTGGCAGCGAATGTTATGGTTAAGAGCAGGTCAAATGGCTTTGATGAAAGTATGAAACACAGAGCCAAGAACTGAACCAAAATAACGCAGTGCAGAGTGACATACACGTACTATCTGCTGCTATCCTTGTCCATTCTATTCTATTTTATTTATTCCAGCAAAAAGAGGCAAAGACAAATAAAATAGTGTTCATTAAATTGATTTAAAACTGGCTGAACAGAAACACATTTCCTTCCATTACTATAATCTTAAGCATCCTTGCTGCTTTTCTATTAGTCATGACTGTGAGCTTTTTATATACTATATGGTGAAAATACTACTTAGATTTTTGTTATATTTCAGTTTTGCGTAACTATTCTGTCACTAATGCACACAAACAAATTATTATATATGTATCTCAATAAGTTTATGTATCAAACATTTACTTGATTGTTTGAAAATGATACCCTATTATCTGGATCTTTATCTGTTGTTATAAAAATGAAATCTTCACACCAGAAACAAATTATAAACATTTTAAAATTCTGATTTTATATAACGGAACCATTTCCATTCCAGTTTTATGTCAGCTTTAATTTAGCCTTCACAAATAAATCATAAAATACTACTTTTAGATAAAAAAAAAAGATGTTGAATACAGAGGTGAAGTGCTTACCTTCCCTTGCATTTAAAGTCCAGAGTGAAAAAGTGAAAGTAAACTTGGACAGGGTGTGGACACCTGTTTACTGACTGAACTGATCATATGAGTTAATATGTCTTCAACCACTAAGGTAGTTAAGCTGCCCTATATGAGAATTATTGCAGTTTACACAGACTTTATGGGGAAGGAAGGAAGGAAGGAAGGAAGGAAGGAAGGAAGGAAGGAAGGAAGGAAGGAAGGAAGGAAGGAATCATTTTGTTATCATAAATGTTTAACATCTTTTCTAAAGATTTGTTGCATTCAGAAAGTATTTACAGAACTAAACTTTTTCCACATTTAGTTATCCTACATCTTTACTCCAAATGGTATCCAATTCAATTCCATTTTGCTTAATTATGTGACATTTCTGCTAAAAAAAAAACGTTTTGAAGTTTTTGTCAAGTGTATTTTTCCCATACATTCACTACACCTAAATAATGAAATTAATTCTAGCTAAGAAAAACAGACTAGTTTTAAGCCTTTAAATGAACTGGTATCAAGCACATTTGCCTTGTTTTTAAGCCTGTTGTATGCTTG